AAGAATTGGGGGCAACGTGTCGAGTTCCTTGGAAGGCACAAATGTAAATAACAATAATGGCCAAACTCTCAACCTGCTCCTTCTTCCTTGATGTGGAAGGCTTGGAATCTCTGGAATTTTTTTGCAGGGGAAGTCTTGGACCCGTTCCTCCTCCGAGTCTGTTCCCACTCCCTGCTGTTCCTCGTATCCCCCCATTGTCTTCGTCTCACGTCCAAGCCTCTTGGACAGCCTCCATCTTCTTTCCCACGGCGAGGAGAGCAGAGGAGAGAGTCCGGAGGTTGACCTTGGCTTTGGCGGAGGTCTCCTCTCGCTCTCTTCCCACCCTGCAGCGGAACGGAGGAGACCATGCAAACGTGCGTCTGTGGTTGGGACCACTTGGGATTCGGGGACCGGTGGTGATGTGAATTCAGAGGTGCTCCGTTGACTTGGCAGCAGCTTAGGCTACCAATGGCTACAAGACGGCCTTAAACCAATATGCCCACTTTTCCTGCTTCACTCTGCAGAAGCGGCACATAATACCAGTTCAGCATTTGTAAAAACTCGATTTTTTAGTCTTGAACTCCCCGCTTATTGATATCAAGCAGGCGCCTTCACCCTCTTTTCGGCGCCTGCTAAGACCATTTTCTTTTGGGCAAGTTTTAGAAAACGAATGTGAGCCTTAATCCGCTTTGAGTCTGTTGTTGTTTTAACTTTTCAAATGCCTCAAATTATTGCTGCTTTAATTTTTCTGAGAGGTGATTGTTGGTAGGTTGTTGTTGTTGTTGTTTTACAATCAAGAGGCGTATAGATTTTATGAAATAAATAAATGGAAATAGCCACAAAGGCTGTCTTCTCCCTCTGTCAGAGGCTGTGAATGCTTCTGAATACCAGTTGCTAGGAAGTAAGGAGAGAGCCACTGTTGTGCCTGTGAGCTTCCGCTAGGGCAGGCATGTCCAAAATCTGTTTCGGGGGCCTAATCCGGCCCACTGTTTGATTTAATCCGGCTCCTGTGGCAGTATATGTCCTTCAACAGCAGTAATCATTTGGTCGGCCCTCGTGCATGTTCACTTCATCAAATCTGGCCCTCTTTGAAAAAAGTTTGGACACCCCTGTTCTAGGGTCATCTACTGGCTTAGCCACTGTGAAAACAGGGTGCCGGACTAGATGGGTCATTGGTCTGAACCTGCAACTGAGCTCTCTCCTGACGTTCTCAGTCTCCAGACTTAAGGGAAGCATCAGAGGTGTGGAGACATTGGAAAGTTATGGGAAACTGAAGCCCTGCACCAGAGGATCTCTGGATTGACCAATCAAGGGTCACTGTGCCAGATTCTGAGTTCCATGGCTTTCCCCTGTTGGAAACAGAATGCTAGGATGGGCCATTGGCCTATCTTACATCAAGTTCTTACATGATGGAATATTACAGAAGGTCTTGAATTGGCAAGTCTGTCTGAGCGTTGCTAGTGGTCAATTCACAAAGCTCTCTGCTGGCATTTGTACCATACGTAACTTTAATTGTATAGCGCATTTCCGTAGTTGAAGCTATGCTCAAGGTGGCTCGCAAAATGGAAAATAAAATAAAATACAGTAATCGCAAACATAACAGAAGTTGTCATAAGATTGACAGCTACACGAATCATGATAGCTAGGAAGTGGAAAGGCAAGCAGAATATAAAATGGAAGGATGGTAGGAAGAGGTGTGGGATATAGCTATGAATGATTAATTAACGTGTCATTCAGGTAAGACGGGGAATATGTAGGAGAAATGATTTTGAGGAGATGTGGCGGGTGTCTGTAGCATTTGTACTGTTAAAATGGAAAGGGGTTAACACTCCTGAGCAACACTCCTGAGCAACACCCCAGCCTAAGACTCTGTTCAGCAGCCTCCGCTTTTGTAGCTGGAGTCAGTCCAAGCTCCGCCCCCCCAGGCCAGGTGGGGAAAGGTGTGCGAGGCAGGGAGCAGGTCTCCCAGGACCCACAGCCAAGATGGTCTTTTGTCAGTTGGTTAAGCTGCAGGAAGCAAAGAGTTGCAATAACTGCAAAGTTCTCTTAATGGAGAGAAGTGAACTCACCTAAGGATCAGTAATGGGGCCAGGGCTTTTTAACGTATTCATAAATGTCCTAGAGTTAGGTGTGAGCAGGGAGGGGGCCAAGTTTGCCAGTGACACTAAATTGTTCAGGATTGTTAAATCAAAAAGAGATTGAGAAGAGCTCCAAAAGGACCTCTCCAAGCTGAGTGAATGGCCAGTAAAATGGCAAATGCAATTCAACGTAGAGAAATGTAGTGACACATGTTGGAACAACAAAATCTTAAATTCACGTGCATGCTCTGAGCTGGAGGGGAAGGACCAGGAACGAGACCTTGGGGTCATATTCTATAGCTTGATGGAGATGCCGACCTACTGTACGGCAGCCGTGAAAAAGGCCATTTCCAGGCTAGGGATCATTAGGAAAGGAACTTAAAATGGACCTGCCAATATCACCATGCCGGTTTACAAATCTATGGCACAGTTGCATTTGGAGCACTGTGTGCAGTTCTGGCTGCCTCACCTCAAAAAAGGAGTTTGTGGAGTTGCAAAAAGGTTCAGGGGGGAAAAGCCACTAAAATGATTGAGGAAAGGCTGCAGCGTTTGGGACTATTTAGTTTGGAGAAAATGCAATAGGCGACATGATAGAAGTTTGTAAAAACTGGAGGCAGGGATGGCCACCAACCTAAAGGTAAAGGGACCCCTGACCATTAGGTCCAGTCGTGCCCGACTCTGGGGTTGCGCCGCTCATCTCGCTTTACTGGCCAAGGGAGCCGGCGTACAGCTTCCGGGTCATGTGGCCAGCATGACTAAGCCGCTTCTGGCGAACCAGAGCAGTGCACGGAAACGCCGTTTATCTTCCCGCCGGAGCGGTACCTATTTATCTATTTGCACTTTGATGTGCTTTTGAACTGCTAGGTGGGCAAGAGCAGGGACCGAGCGAAGGGAGCTCACCCCGTCACGGGGATTCGAACCGCCAACCTTCTGATCAGCAAGTCCTAGGCTCTGTGGTTTAACCCACAGCGCCAATCACATCCCTAGATGACTTTAAAAGCCACAATCCTAGATGACTTTAAAAGAGGATTTGCCAAATTCATGGAGGGCTGTTGCTAGATACTAGCTGGGATGACTCTGTGCAACCCTTCTGAATCTCAGTTGTTGGAAACTGCGGGATGCTGGACTCAATTGGCCCTCGGCCTGATCCTGCAGGCTCTTCCCGTGTCCTTACGCGTGTTTCTCCTTGCAGATACAAGAGCATCGTGACGGGGAAGCGGGCCCGGGTCCTCATTGCCGTCCTCTGGATCCTCTCCTTCGGCATCGGGCTCACCCCGCTGATGGGCTGGAACCACGGGGAGAACGCCACCACCTGCGCCGAGAACTTCACGACCTTTGGCAACGGGAGCCCAGTTGAGGCGGGTCAGCGCAGGCCCTGCCAGGTGAGATGCCTCTTTGAGAAGGTGGTGACCATGAGCTACATGGTCTACTTCAACTTCTTCGGCTGCGTCCTGCTCCCGCTGCTCATCATGCTGGGCATCTACGCCAAGATCTTCCTGGTGGCCTGCAAGCAGCTGCGGCAGATGGAGCTGATGGGCAACTCCCGCACCACGCTGCAGAAGGAGGTCAACGCCGCCAAGTCCCTGGCCATCATCGTGGGCCTCTTTGCCCTGTGCTGGCTGCCCCTCCACATCCTCAACTGCCTGACCCTCTTCCACCCAGAGCTGGCCAAGCCCACCGAGGTCATGAACCTGGCCATTGTCCTCTCCCACGCCAACTCGGTCGTCAACCCCATCATCTATGCTTACCGCATCCAGGACTTCCGCTTCACCTTCCGGAAGATTCTCTGGCGGTACGTCCTCTGCAAGGCCGACGACTTCCCCAAGGGCGCTAAAGGAGGCGGAAGCGGAGGCGGCAGCAACCGCGACCTGGCGGTCGCCAGCATCATCACGGCTCCGACCTGCATTTGAGGACTACCTCGTTTTTGGAGGTCCTGGCAGATGCATGTGACCCTCAAAACTCCGGGAGGAGACCGTCACAACAAGGGACCGCTATTGGGGTGTTTGTACTGCTGCAGTTTGAGTCCACAATACGCATATCTATTCCTGCTGTGAGCAGGGGGCGAGAATGGACGGCCCCTTGTTTCTAACTCTTAAAACTGTGATTTATTTTGTGATTTTTAGTTGTGTTTGGTTTTTGTTTATAAAAATTGTGCCTCTGAGAGGAGGAATCCTACCGCCAACCTTACATGCTGTCTGAGTCCCTAAAGGATGAAACTTTGGGGGGGGGGTGAGAGAGAAGGGATGAGATTTATATTTTCCTTCCGAAAGAGAGAGAGAAGAAAACTCACGTCAAATTCTTGCCTCTGGAACAAGGGCCGGTTTCCCAACCATGCTGCTCTCGCGCTTTCTTGTGCGGAGGTTGTTATTTTTTCATCGTTCAAAGACAACTTTTTAAAAATATATACGTGATGGGTTTGTTGTTTTGACAAAGAATGTCGTGTGTTTGTGTCTGTCTGTCCTCTCTCGCCCCGCAACTGCCTTTTAAAAAAAATTAAAAGAATGGTCATCAGTTGTTTGATGCTGCTGGTATTCTCCATTGGGAAATCATTTTAAGTATAAATTGTGGGCTTGTTTTTCCCCTTAAAACTTGGTGCAGAAAGGGCAATGTTAAGGGGATTGGGGGGTGGGGAATTGACTGAACAAATTGGTTTTAATTCAGAAAGGAGGGAACCTAGTGACAGCGGTTTCTTCCTTTAATAAAGGAGAGTTGTTGAGGGCCAAAATCTACATCGCTGTCAGTGTACTGTGTTTTAATTTGCCTGAAAACTTGAGCACGCTGCTTTTTGGGTTATATCTGATCCCAAGAGAGAAAAGGCTGTCTAATCAGGGCTGTGAATGGAATGGGCAGCCTTGACAGGTAGTCACTTTTGCTGGAGGTAAATGTATGATGCTGTCATTTCCTCAGTGAGAAAAATCCGAACCCCTGTGTGCATTACTACAGTTTTTTTGGGGGGGGGGCTAATGCATTCAAGCACATACCCCCCCACCTCAAAAAAATCTCAAACCCAAACAAAACTTATATTTAACTATTCCCCTGGCTTCTGAGTTTTCACCAGATGTCACCTGTCGCAGCCTTCCAACTATTTATTACTTTATTTAAATTTAGCTTTTTATTGCAGAGAGAAGTATTCCTGTACAGCTATTTCGTGGAATATCAGGGTGGGGTAAAGTGCTAAAACACAAAGCCATTCGAAAGATAAATGGATAACCATTAAGCTGAGTGGCTCATCAGAGTAAAAAAGGAAGAGTTGCAAAATGGCCGGCCGGCGTGAAAGTCAAAAAGGGAGGGTGCCTGCCGCATCTCTGCTGGAAGCGTGTTCTGTGGTTTGGGACAGGCGACACTTGACACCTGGCTTCTAAATGGCACCCTGCCTTTTCCCTGCAAGGAAACCCAGGGGGCGCCCACTGCTGCCCTCTGAATTTTGTCCTCACAGCAACCCTGGGAGGTCGGTTAGGCACTGTGTCTGAGTGCCTGGCCCAAGATCCCTTGGTGAGTTTCAGGGCTGAGTGCTGGTCTTGCGACAGAATGTGCGGCTTCCCTCTCCTAGGCAAATATTCAGAGCTCCACAGTCTGATTTAAGGTGAGGTGGGAGCTGGGAGAGAGAAGAGGGATGGATGGGGTGAAGAGGTTGCACTGGTATGAGGCGAGAGGCTGTCTGCAAGCGATGAGTTTAGGCCAGGGTGATCTGCCTCTCCCATGGGCAGCCTTCTGGGAAAGGAAGGAAGAGAGGGAAAGAGAGAAAGAAAGGCGGAAGAGGAAGAGCGAGAGAAGGGGTGGCAAAGAGACGAGGGAAATAGGTGGCCTAGCTCACCTTTGGCATGCAGCCCCAGCCTGGAAAAACAACCACCTCTATCAGCTCGCTCTCTATATACATCACAGCAGGATTCTCTTCCCTGTAATAAGGACTAGAAACTTGAAACAAAGCCGATTGGTTCAAGGAGCTGAGCGCAGGGTGGAGTTCTACATTCAAATGTGCCCCCACAGAAGCTCAGCAGACGCGTTCAGCTTGGGAACGCAGAACCGGACTTACGCTTGGTGGCCCTGGGAGGATTTAAACCCTCCCCACCGACACACACAAAAGCTTTCATTTTCCTGCATGCACATATACAAAAATTGTAATGTGACCCTAAAATAATCAGGTATCTGCATGGAGCAATTACAGGTCCAAGGTAGACGTCTGCCTGCTTCCCCCAGAAGCCAGACGGGCAGCGAGAACAGGGGGATATAATCTTTCATTGATCCCAGTTTGGGTTAAGGCCCTCGCCCCTTTCTTGAGACCCCGTGGCCCTTCGGACAATGTCACATTCAAACCCCCAACATCACTGGCCATTGCTGGCAGCAAGGGCTGGTGGGAGTTGGAGTCTAAGGACTTCCGGATTCCCTTCTCTCCAGAGGCTAGGATTCCCTTCTCTTCCAAACAGAGGCATCACTCCTGTGGAGTATTCACTGCCGCTTCTTAGAGCAGGTCTGCTTGGACCACAACTCCCAGCATCCCTCACCACCAGCCACTGCTAACTGCAAGGGCTGATGGGAGTTGGAGTCCAGCAGTGTCCAGACAGCCACACAGGCTCTCTGTTCCCTTACTGAATCTTGGAGGCTGTTCGTAGAGGAGCAGGAGAGCATTCTCTCTCTCGAAACCCAGGCTGAGGTCTTCATCTTTCTTCCTCCTCCTCCTCTTGCAACAAGAGTCTGGTCAGCTGCTTGTCTGGGACAGTCAGCTCCTGGCAGGACCCGAGCGCCTGGCTGAGGTAGACGGCAAGAAGGTGCTTACACTGCAAAGGAGGAACGAGAACTGTTAGCAGCGCAGCCAAGTGCCCAGAGCAGAGACAGGATGCTTTCTAACGCAGGCTGAAAAACAAGCCTCTGTTTGCCGCTGGGAATCTCAGGCCGGGGTGGGGTGGGGGCACATCTGAAGAGACCCTGGCTGTTGGACCAGTCCCCCCCCCCACAAGCCCCTCTTGTCCAGCATCCTGCCCTCACAGGAGAGGAGCACAACAGCTCTCTTCCATGCATGGTTCCCAGCGTACTGTTTCCGGCAGTGCACAGCCAGCATGGCTTGCAGCCCCTGATCTAGCAGTATTCTCTATGAGCTTGTCTAATCGTATCTTAAGGTAAAGGGACCCCTGACCATTAGGTCCAGTCATGGCCGACTCTGGGGTTGTGGCGCTCATCTCACTTTATTGGCCGAGGGAGCCGGCATACAGCGTCCGGGTCATGTGGCCAGCATGACTAAGCCGCTTCTGGTGAAACCAGAGCAGCGCACGGAAACACCGTTTACCTTCCCGCTGGAGTGGTACCTATTTATCTACTTGCACTTTGAGGTGCTTTCGAACTGCTAGGTTGGCAGGAGCAGGGACCGAGCAACGGGAGCTCACCCCGTTGCGGGGATTCGAACCCCCGACCTTCTGATTGGCAAGCCCTAGGCTCTGTGGTTTAACCCACAGCACCACCCATGTCCCTCTCGTAAATCGCCTCTTAAAGCCATCCAAATTGGTGGCTACTTGTGGCCACAAAGCCACAGTTTAACCCTGTGTTGTGTGAAGAAACTCTCTTGTCTGTCCTGAGTCTTCAAACATTCAGCTTCTCTGTAGGAGGAACAGAGAAATATCCCCTTTCTCGATGCCAGGCACAATTCTATCGGCCTCTATCGTATCTCCTTGCCCTTCTTCCCCTAAACGAAAAAGGCCCAAACATTATAGCCTTTCCTCCACAGGAGAATAGCTCCAATCCCTTGATCGTCTCTGCTGCCCCTTCCTAGCTCTGTGATACCCCTTTTTGAGACGAGGTCTTCCCTAGGCCCCTTGCCATCCCTTTCTAATAGGAGCTGCCAGGAGATTGAACCTGGCAGGCTTTGCATAGGAAAGCAGGGACGCTGCCCACTGAGCCACGTTCCCTCACTACTACAGTGGTACCTCGGATTACATACGCTTCAGGTTACAGACTCCGCTATCCCAGAAATAGTACCTCGGGTTAAGAACTTTGCTTCAGGATGAGAACAGAAATCATGCTCCGGCGGCAGCAGGAGGCCCCATTAGCTAAAGTGGTGCTTCAGGTTAAGAACAGTTTCAGGTTAAGAGCAGACCTCCAGAACGAATTAAGTACTTAACCCGAGGTACCACTGTAGTCTTTGGAGCGCAATAATTCTTCCTTTGCAGAAGTTGAGCGGAACAATGAGAAAAAGGAAGCGACTCTCAATATGCTGTTGGGCGACAACTCCCTTCATCCAAGCGGCCGTACGATCCGGGGGCTGGTGACAGTTTTGGACTACAATTCCCATCATCCACAAAGCTGTGGCTGATGGGAGTTGTAGTCCAAAACTACCCAGAAGGCTCCAGATTGGGGCGTGCTGTATGAGAGCTGCCTCACTGCTAGGATTCTCCGTCCCGCTCTACCCGTCTCGCCATCGCAGAGCCTCTTGCCCTGACTCTCCTTGTCGGTCAGACTCACCACAAGACTGTCGCCCTTCCGGAGGACAGAAAACATGAAGGCCGGGCAGGAGCAGAAGTGGCAGGAGGCGTAACAAGTGTAGTGTTTGCCTGAGCTTCCAACCACCTGTGGGAAGGAGGAGGGAAAACATGATTTGCAACACGCACAAACGGAGAGCCCTATCTAACGTGGGTTATATGAAAGCCTGAAGGATTGAAGTGAGCTGGGGAGTTAGGAGTCTGTGTCAGACCTAGACTCGGATCCGCCACCCTTGACCAGTGAAGAAGAAGACGACGACTTTGGATTTGATATCCCGCTTTATCACTACCCGAAGGAGTCTCAAAGCGGCTAACATTCTCCTTTCCCTTCCTCCCCCACAACAAACACCCTGTGAAGCGAATCCCCGTGACGGGGTGAGCTCCCATTGCTCAGTCCCTGCTCCTGCCAACCTAGCAGTTTGAAAGCACCTCAAAGTGCAAGTAGATAAATAGGTACCACTCCGGCGGGAAGGTAAACTGCATTTCCGTGTGCTGCTCTGGTTCGCCAGAAGTGGCTTAGTCATGCTGGCCACATGACCCAGAAGCTGTACGCCGGCTCCCACGGCCAGTAAAGCAAGATGAGCGCCGCAACCCCAGAGTCGGCCACGACTGGACCTAATGGTCAGGGGTCCCTTTACCTTTTAAGGAGTCTCAAAGCGGCTAACAATCTCCTTTCCCTTCCTCCCCCACAACAAACACTGTGAGGTGAGTGAGGCTGAAAGACTTCAGAGAAGTGTGACTGGCCCAAGGTCACCCAGCAGCTGCATGTGGAGGAGCGGGAAGCGAACCCGGTTCCCCAGATTACAAGTCTACTGCTCTTAACCACTACACCACAGTGAAGACTTTGGGCCAGTCGCTTGCTCCCAGCCCAGCCTGGGTCGTCGTGAAAACGGTCTCATTCGAGGGGACCCTCAACTCCTGGAACATAACATCATCATCGACAACAATTTTGTTTGTTTATACCCCAGTTTTACCCCTGACAGGGACTCAAGGCAGCTTACAGATAAAAATAAAAACAGCTAAAAACATAAAAGAAGAGATTAAAAACATGGGAAACCAGCAGGCAGGATCTGAGCACAAGAGTAGCTCTCCCCTCCTGCAGTTTCCAAGTTGATGGCCATAGCTGCCTCCAGTGGGAGGGAGTTCCGTAGTTTAACTCTGGGCTGCGTGAAGAAGTGCTTTCTTTTATCTGTCCTGAACCTTCCAAAATTCAGCTTCCCTGGACGTCCACACGTTCAACCCTCTGGGTTGTTTTGGACTACAACACCCATCGGCCACAGCTTTGTGGATGATGGGAATTGTAGTCCAAAAGTTCTCTCTATCCACTCACCCTGCGGAAGGAAGGGTGAGATATGCTTCCCACAGCACCCAGTAGTATCCTTCCTCGGACGCCAATGGCACGAGTGAATTTTTAGAAAATCATTATTTTCAAAAGAAGTCTCCGGTACCGGAAACAAAAAAGAACGGACGTCTCGTGAAGCGGCTCTAACTGTTTGGAATTTGAAAGATCAAGTCTCTGGGGCCCAGGCCTCTCGGCTTGGTTTTTGTACGGAAAACGCTTCCAGGGGGTTTTTTGGGGGGTGGAAAAAGGAAGATGCTAATATTTTCTTTTCTCCTCGTGTTCCTTTGAGGGGGTGGGAGGGTCTGCCAGTCTTCCCTGAGGCAGTCAGAGCATCCCATGGGGAGGCGTGCGTTAAGATGGCCTGGTTCCGGAGTGTCGGGCCGTCAGGTCTTGGCCTGAGGCGCCAATGTCCTGAGGTACCAAAGCGAGCCAGAGGAACATAGTTCCGAGCCGAGCTGTCCTGAATTGACTCCAGATTGGGCACAATGTGAGGATTCTCTCTCTCTCTCTTATTTGGGGAGGGGGAGTTGCTATTCAGCCCCACCAAAGTGCCTGAGGAAAAGCCTGTCGTGTGACCAACAGACGCATCCGCTCCAGTTCTGCTGCGGGTCCACCTCGCACGTAGGGTTAGGAGCCGCTGCGGCAGAGGAAGAGCGCGCTGAGCCGCCTACTCATCCAAGCCGGGGGCGGATGGAGAAGGGATGCAAAACTGGCATGTGACCAACAGACACAACCGCTCCAGCTCCGGGTGTCATCCGTCACGCAGCTAATCTGGCTCCTGTTTTGGTCCAAGGGCTCGGGAGGAGCCCCAGACGATATTTCAGCCTGGCAGGCCTAATCCACTTATTTACTGCTCTGGGGGCAGGCTGCCACAGAAATAATAGGTAATTGAGATGAAAGTTATCTTTTCCTTTAAAAATTAAAAAAGAAAAGAAAAAAGAGGACATAAATTAGCAGGAGCAAACAAACAGATCAGAGAAGCTGAAAGGGGTGGGGACTGGAAGATGAAGCAACCTCTCTCCAGCAAAGACACACACAAACACCCAATTATCTCACACTGCAACCCCTCGGCAGCTTTGGTTGCCCATTACCACAGAGGGCATAAAAGGTAAAGATAAGGATACCCCTGACCATTGGGTCCAGTCGTGGCCGACTCTGGGGTTGCAGCGCTCATCTCGCTCTATAGGCCGAGGGAGCCGGCGTACAGGGTCATGTGGCCAGCATGACTAAGCCGCTTCTGGCAAACCAGAGCAGCGCACGGAAATGCCGTTTACCTTCCCGCCGGAGTGGTACCTATTGATCTACTTGCACTTTGACATGCTTTCAAACTGCTAGGTTGGCAGGAGCAGGGACTGAGCAACAGGAGCTCACCCCGTCGCGGGGATTCGAACCACCGACTTTCTGATTGGCAAGTCCTAGGCTCTGTGGTTTAACCCACAGTGCCACCCGCCCAAATGTCTTACCCCATGGGCCCCCCAAGGAAGCTGAATGGAGGAAGATCCAGGACAGAGAAAAGAAAGGACTTCAGCAGGACACAGCACAGAGCGGCCAACTGCGGAACTCTCTCCCACAGGAGGCAATGACGGCTGTCAACATTTAATAATAATAATAATAATTTTTATTATTTATACCCCACCCTCCCCGGCCAGAGCCAGGCTCAGGGTAGCTAACACCAATAAAATCACAGTAAAAACATAATGGGGAGGGGGAACCAATTTAAAATGCAATTTAAAATGCAGCCTCATTTTAAAAGTAGCCAATAGATCAAGACCATAAGGGGAGGGAAACATAAGGGTCAGACTGAGTCCAAACCAAAGGCCAGGCGGAACAGCTCTGCCTTGCAGGCCCTGCGAAAAGATGTCAAGTCCCGCAGGGCCCTGGTCTCTTGTGACAGAGCGTTCCACCAAGTCGGGGCCAGTGCTGAAAAGGCCCTGGCCCTAGTTGAGACCAATCTAAGCACCTTGCGACTTGGGACCTCCAAAATGTTGTCATTTGTGGACCTTAAGGTCCTCCGCGGGGCATATGTATGGCTTTTCATGAGAGGATTAGACAAATTCATGAGGGGAAGGCGATCAATGGCTGTGCTAGTCATGGTGGCGATGTGGGGAATTAGGACCTAGGAGAGGGCCTTGTCTGCAGCAGCCCCAGATTCTTCAAACTCCCTCCCCAGAGAGCTGCGTCTGGCATCTTTAATACACAGCTTGTGCCATGGGGCTGAAGACCCAACTCTCTACTTGGCCTTTGAGAGCTAAGATACCTCCCACGATTTTCCGTTCATTTATGTCACGGCCAATGTGACGCGAAATACTTCTAAATGATGGACACTTTTTCATCACTGTACTGAGTGCTCACCCGAATGCCTTATTTTTTTAGTGGGGTATTTTGTTGACCTTTCTTTGTATTGATTTATTATTTTACTATGTATTGTTTTAGTTCCTGAATGTTAAATCCCACCCCACCCCTTTTTAAAGAGCTAAGATACTTTGTTTTGTGGGGCCCATCTCTCAGCTGAATCTATACTGTTTGGTTCCATTTGGGATGCTTCTTAGGTATTTAAACAATCGCAATTATTTAATCAGCTTTTTCACAACTGCGTTTCCTGGGACATAAGGAATCTTTTAAGCCAGGGGTCAGCAAACGTTTTCAGCAGGGGGCTGGTCCACTGTCCCTCAGACCTTGTGGGGGGCCGGACTATATATTTTTTTTGGTGGGGGGGGGGAGAGAACGAATTCCTATGCCCCACAAATAACCCGGAGATGCATTTTAAATAAAAGGACACATTTCACTCATGTAAAAACACACTGATTCCAGGACCGTCGGCAGGCCGGATTTAGAAGGCAATTGGGCTGGATCCTGCCCCCGGGCCTTCGTTTGCCTACCCATGTTTTAAGTGAACAGGGAGCGAAGGAGCTGTCCGGCTGTGGTTCTTCAGAGGCCTGAGGCTGCTTTCTAGAAGGAAGCAGCAGCAGACAGCTCATCTTGGCTTACTTGACCGGGAGGGACCCTGTCTGCCAGTTTAAGAAGTGAGCTTTTCAATTATTATTTCTTCCCTAAGACACCAGAGACGGCGGCTGTCTTTGAACGCAGACTGTTCGCTGGGCAGACTCCGGGTGTATTAACTGCGAGATCTCTCCCACCCTGACTGTCGCTCCTTCCTGGTTCCTCATCGTCCTTCTCACAACATTGCCCCCGGGATCCTGTTATCAACGGATGCGAACGTTTTAATCCAGCCAGGGCTGACGGGAGCTGTGACCCAGAACATCTGGAGGGCACCAGTTGGCAAAGGCAGCCCTGGCTCTTATCAGAAGGAGCAAAGGAAGCTGCCTTAAGCAGTGCCCACCTAGCATAGTATTGTCAGACGTACCGAGAGGTGCTGGGGACTGAAGCTGGGAGACCTTCTGCATGCAAAGCAATGCTTCTGTCATTGGGTCCTTCTAATGCTTGCTAAGGGGGGTATTTCAGTGCCACCAGAGTTTCAGGAAGCCAATGCCCATGCCAGCCTCAGCCCACATTGCACACCCGCTGCCTGCAAGACAAGACCTTTGGGGGGTTGTACCTGGTAGACCTGCCTTCCGCTGGGAGATGTGATCCGTGTGACTGACTGGCGGTCCACCAAGTCCAGAGCAGGGACGGCAGAAGCCCCAAAGATAAACTTCAGCCTGGGAAGATGGAAAAGGTGCCGGGTTAAGCTTCTAACCGCCGAGTTCTGCCCCTGCTGCCCAAATGCTCTGGGACAGTGTTTACACTATAAAGCTAAATCGGTTTGAAACCGAGAGGTCCTGTTTGAGGTTTAATCGTCTTGGATATTTAAATCAGAGAATCCTAGGACTGTGGAGTTGGAAGGGACCCCGAGGGTCATCTAGTCCAACCCCCGCAGTGCAGGAATCTTTTGTCCAATGTGGGGCTCAAACCCAGGACCCTGAGATTAAGAGTCTCACGCTCTTACCAACTGAGCTATCCCTTTTTTTTGCATTTCACCCTTCCCCACAACAGGTGGCTGAGAGAAAGGAACTGGCCCAAAGTCACCCAGGAGGGATTCGAACCCAGCTCCCTTTAGTCCTGCTCAGATACATGGGGCACCTGCATGCCGCCAGATGTTGCTGGACTGCAACTGCCATCACCCCTAAGAGGAGCTGGGAGTCCAGCTAAAGCGTCATGAAGCCACCAGTTCCTCAGCCTGGCTCCAACCACTGCACCACACTGCCCAGCCAAACTGGCTTGCAGTTTTAAACACCTTTTGGATTTGAAGACACCTTATTACTGATGTTTAGGGTTTTGGCCAGAGTAGTGCTAAGTAGTTCATCCCATCTGCATCAGGACTAATGCTCCCCTTCACTCCATGCCCTAAACTTGTTCCAGGGGTTCCCCCAACCCTCCAGAGCAGATATGGGGGGGGGACACACATGGCATGCATGGGGGGAGGGGAAAATTGCACTGTGCAAGTGTAAATCCTTGTACCAGTAGAACAGGTTGGTTGGATAGCGTCCCCGAGCCGCAATCCTAAACGTACTTGAGCCCCGCTGAATTCGGATGTTCTCCTGTCTGATTTTTGTGAGTAGGTTTTGTGCTGTTAATACATTACTGAGAAGAACCCCAGCAGCAATCTATTAACACAGCCAAATTTCCTGGTCGCCTGTGCCGAGCGATGACCGGGAAGGGAAGCTTGCAAAAAAAAAGGTGATGTGGTTTTCCTCCGAACCGACAAATCCTTTTACACCGTGCGGCTGTCAAATGAAGTTTGCGGGTTTGGGGACTCTGGCAGAAATCATTTCGCGGGCCTGAGGAAACACCTGCCAAACCGAGGAACAACGTCCCTGCAAATCCCGAGAGCGTGATGCGATGATTTAATGCCCTCCCCAAGAAGCCTTAATCCAGTGATGACACAGTTACCACACACGACCAACGTCAGGAGAGGCTGTGTGATTAGGAGGAGGACGTAACCCACTGTCCGACAGACTAGGGAGGTTTTAGCTGTTATTTTAGGCGAGGACATCCTCCCGGCTTGGATTCTGGGGGCATGAGGATGTGATGTACCAAAGGCGGCTTGGTGTACAACGTGGAGTTTTGCCTTGATGCCGTACCGACTGCAGTTGCAAACTTTTAAAACGAAAGGAGGTAGGTTTCGGCCGAAGGGCCCAGTTTGAAAACAGTATCAGAAAGACGGGCTTTCTATTCTGGGAAGAGCAGATCTAATTCCGCCTGAGAGCCCGGGACAGAACTCAAGGGATTTTAAAGGCTGCACAGAACAGTTGACCCTAATCTCTACGTCACGGAACGGCTGGCAGATGGACTTGCGCTTAATGCCGTGAATCGGAGAGTCAGAAATGCAAGAAAGAGCGCAGCCGGGTGCAGGATCAGGACTGGGAGAGAGAGGGTCGTCAAGGATCTCTGGAGGCCCACAAGGCTGTCTGTTTCCAAACTCAGAATCCAAGCCCCTTTTATAAATGCCATTCCTTTAAAAAAAGGAAAAAAGTTGTTCTGTCTTTGCACGAGCAGGAAGCTGGTGACAACTCAAGAATGGAACAGCTGGCGGAGGAAAATCCAGAGGGAAGAATGGGGAAGAGAGAGCAGAAACAGCCAAAATAAGTGATGGAGGTTCTCCTTTTCATGGAACATCAGTCTCCTCTCTCAAAATTATTACTGAGCTGATTTCTCCCATTTCCTTAACCTTTCCCTTTCCAGACGAAGTCCTTCTTTTGAAGCCTTAAAGGAGAAAACGGCTCACATATTTTCAGCGGGTGTTTCCCTAATGAGGGCTAGAAACTTATTTATTACTGTTGTTTCAGAAATGGCTAGCAACCCATGTGGACGAGGCAGAAAACTGTGGGGTGTTGAAAGCCAGTGTGGTATAGCGGTTAAAAGTGGAGCTAGAAAACTGGGGTTGAAATCTCAGATTGGCTGTGAAGCTCTCACTGGGTGAACATGGGCCAGTTACAGCCTCTCAGCCTAGCCTACCTCAAAAGGTTGTTGTGAGGATAAAACAGTAGGTAGGAGAAACACAGAACACCAGCTCGCTCTCCTTGGAGGGACATAAATGGAATTAGGTAAACAAACCAAGACAATAAGATGCACTCAAGTGCAAAAACTCATATAGCAAAATGTGGTGTCAGAGATCCCTAGCACAGTGTTTTTCAACCTTTTTTGGGCAAAGGCACACTTGTTTCATGAAAAAAATCATGAGGCACACCACCATTAGAAAATGTTAAAAAATTTAACTCTGTGCCTATATTGACTATATATAAAGTACCGTATTTTTCGCTCTATAACACGCACCCGACCATAACACGCACGTAGTTTTTAGAGGAGGAAAATCCGTAGGCATGCCACCCGTAGGCATTTCCTCCATAACACGCACAGACATTTCTCCTTACTTTCTAGGAGGAAAAAAGTGAGTGTTATGGTGCAAAAAATACGGTAATTCTCTTGAATAGTAATCAAATAAACACAAAGAAAGTATTTTATAATTACTTTATTATGAAATAGTAGGTAAACAGAAATATGAAAAATTATAAAATACTTTATTTTTAAATCTTTCGAATTTTTCCATTTTTCCCACGGCACACCAGGCAACATCTCACAGCACACTAGTGTGCCGCGGAACAGTGGTTGAAAAACACTGCCCTAGCAGAACCCACCAGCTTTGCCCAAAACCCTGCTCCACATCCTACCCCTGAACTTTGCCAGTTGGTAAGAACAACTGCTTAATATCTGGTGCCCGAGTTTGATTTATTCCTCTTCCCTCGTGTGCCGTGTTCTTTCATATTGTAAACCTACAGGCAGGGACTGTTTGAACTGATTGCTTGTAAGTCACCAGGATCCTTTTTTGGCTGACGTACGGGGTACAAATGCTGTATATGTGGGGAGAGCAGAACCTCCTAGGGAAATAACATTGTTCAACATTAGTTGCAAGGAGCACTCAGAACTAGGGATAGGTCAATTTCGATTTCTCTGCTTCTCCCCCCGACTCAGTTCAGTTCTAACCATTTCTGCAAGAGTCTGCAATTGTTTTTCTTTTCTTTTTAAAGAAAATTCAACAGCATATTGATGTGAGTTTATCCTGATTATCCTGATACAAACATTTTCGCGAGCAATGTCCCCTATTGCAATGCATTTATATATTTTATTTTAAAATTCTTATTTGCAATGTTTCGTTTACCCTTGTAAACAAAACCTACCATTGCAACATCCCAGATCTTGCATTTTGTATATGATTTTCATGGATGCGTGCCATTTTATGCAAGCTCCCTCCTGTATACATTATTTTGCTGTGTTAAGTATTTTTAACTGTTTACATTATGTTAGGGCCACAAACGAAAGCCCCTTAGCAACTACTCACGCCAGGAGGAGGTCATCGGGAACTGGAAAAAAGGAGAAAAAGCAACGTTAATTTTGGCCCACAGCAATGTACTGGGAAGGGCACAGAATGTCAATTAGGAACTCTTATAAAATCTCTGCGCAGATCTGCAAACGCTTCTGGCTGGTTGTTTAACAACAGCCACAGCAATGAAGTTTTACCCACCTTCCTAAATCAAGGCTGCCAAAATGAAGAAGACTGGGGTAGCCGGAGGGGAACCAGGAGTGGATTTTGGTGCAAAAAAAACCACAACCCAACGCAAGCTGAGTTTCCATTACTGAAAACTACGTCGGGATCCCTGATGAGATATTTAATTTATAACTGGTTTTTGTACTTGTCCATACAGGTCCTCCCAATGCTTGTGCTTGCTTTCCCCTCATCCCTCCAGTTCCTTTTTCCTCTTGTGCCACACATTTTTAGATCAGGGGTGTAGAACCTCTGGCCCACGGGAAGGAGCCAGAAGGAAGAGTCCCAATTTGGCCCACGAGGCTGTTCCCAATAAACTGCGCCCGCCCGCCCCGTTCATTGCTTTCCTGGCGCACGCCTTGCTCCAGGCAGCACAAAGCTGTTTGCACTCTACTCCACTTCAGCAGAGATTTCCGTGCAAACCATATTGCGCTCCCGGAGCAAGGCAAACCACTGGGGGTGGCAGGCACCACTAGTCCTAGCAGGAATGGGGTTGGGGTTTCAGCCCAAGCCCAAATATAAACGTCATTAAACAGGCTCTCTGGCTCGGCAGGCACCACGGAGGATTAAGAGAAACTCTAGATATTGGGGGTGGGGAATTGTTCTGTGTGGGTTATCGAAATAGCTCCCTAATCTGCCATGCGGAGGACAATAATACTTCCATGCCTGTCTCGACAACCGGCCAAGGCTGAGGGGGGAGCGGGGAGGATTTTGGCTCAAGCCTGATCTGCGCCGCTGCTTAGAATATCCGCATGGTTGGCAGGGCTGTGGCACTCTCTGCTGGTGAGGAGGGGTGGGAGAGGCGATGGCAGACCACAAAGCTCCATCCAGATAAGACACACAAAGCCCACAAAGCTCCATCCAGATAAGACAGAGGCACTGTTAGACCAGAGGGATGGGAGGTTGCCTGCTCTTGATGGGGCTACACCAGGGAAAGGCAACCTAAGGCCCATGGGCCAGGAGCGGACCACAAAGGTGGTTTAACCGGCCCATGAGCCACCCCCGAATCGAGCCACCCGCCTGGTGAGTCCCTGCGCGCTGCGCTAAACTGGCAGTGTGGTAGCTCTCTTCCACGGCTCTGGAAATTGCTTCTGCGCATGCCCAGACGCCGGGAATCGCATCTGGGCATGTCCGCTGTGCCGGAAATGGCTTCTGCGCATGCCCAGAAGCCAAAAATTGCTTCTGCATAGGTGTGATTTTCGGCATCTGGGCATGCACAGAAGCAATTTATGGTGCCGCAGACATGTGCAGATGTGATATTTGGCGTCGCATTGCACCGGTCCAGCCCACGGAGGATCTCTGCGGGAGTGATCTGGCCCGTTAAGCCTTGCCGACCCCTGGGCTACACTCTGAAGGAGTGGGTACGTTGCTTGGGGATACTTCTGGGTCCTTTGCTGTTGCCTGAGGCTCTGTGGCATGGACTGTCTCCCAGCAGCTTCAGCTGGTGGCTCAGTGGCACCCCTATTTGGACAGAGACAGTCTAACCTCTGTTGCCTATGCTCTGGTAACCTTTAGGCTAGATGACTGCAATGCATTATGCATACGGCTGCCTCTGAAGACAGTTCGGAAACTTCAGCTGGTGCAGAATTCAGCAATGGGGCAAGACGGTTTGAGCATATTACACCGCTCCTGGCCTGACTGCAGTGGCTGCCATTTGGTTTCTGGGCCCAATTCAAAGTGCTGGTTTTGACCTATAAAGCTTTAAATGGCTCAGGACTACAATGCCTCAAGGACCTCCTCTCCCCATATGAACAGCCCCGGACTGTGAGATCATCTTCTGAGGCCCTTCTTCATGTGCATCCTTCTCTCCACGAGACGTCTGGAGGGGGGCAACACGAGAACGTGGTGGCTCCCCGTTTGTGGAATGCTCTCCCCAGCGAGACTCACCTGGTGCCTTCATTAGACACCTTTAGGTGTCAGGTGAAAACCTTCTTCAACCAGGCCTTGGGCTGATTAACATCCTAAATCCTTCTAAATGTCAAAACAAAAAAAAATTCCTTCCAGTAGCACCTTAAAGACCAACTAAGTTAGTTCTTGGTATGAGTGTGTATCTGAAGAAGTGTGCATGCACACGAAAGCTCATACCAAGAACTAACTTAGTTGGTCTTTAAGGTGCTACTGGAAGGAATTTTTTTTGTTTTGACTATGGCAGACCAACACGGCTACCTATCTGTAACTGGAACCTTCTAAATGTGTTTGTGGGAAGAGGGGGCAATTGGTTTGTTTTGTTCTTGTTCTTGTTTTTATTTTGCATTTTGTGTTTTTCAGATGAAGGGTGGTATACAAATAATAATAACAATAACAATAACAATAACAATAACAATAACAATAACAATAACAATAACAATAACAATAATAATAATAATAATAATTTATTATTGGTACCCCGCCCATCTGGCTGGGTCTCCCCGGCCACTCTGGGCAGCTTCCAACAACGATTAAAAATACATTAAAAAGTCACACATTAAAAACTTCCCTGAACAGGGCTGCCTTCAGATGTCTTCTAAATGTCAGATAGTTGTTTATTCCTTTGTCATCTGGTGGGAGGGCGCTCCACAGGGCGGGCGCCACCACCGAGAAGGCCCTCTGCCTGATTCCCTGTAGCTTTGCTTCTCGCAATGAGGGAACCGCCAGAAGGCCCTCGTCACTGGACCTCAGTGTCCGGGCAGAACGATGCGGGTGGAGACGCTCCTTCAGGTATACTGGACCGAGGCCGTTTAGGGCTTTAAAGGTCAGCACCAACACTTTGAATTATGCTCGGAAACGTACTGGGAGCCAATGGAATACAAATAATACTAATAATAACAACAATAATAATAATAAGGTTTGCCTGGAGGAGAGAAGACTGAGAGGTGACGTGAGAGCCATCTTCAAATATCTGAAGGGCTGTCAGGTGGAATATGCAGCCATCTTGTTTTCTTTCGCTCCAGAGGGTAGGACCCGAAGCGATGAATTCAAATGACAAGAAAATAGATTCTGAGTAAACATCAGGGGGAACTTTCTGACAGTAAGAGACCCTTAACAATAGAACGGACCACTATCTGGAAAGCTGGTGAGCTCTCCTTCCTTAGAGGCTTTTAAGCAGAGGTTGGATAGCCATCTGTCAGGGATTCTTTAGCTGTGATTCCAGCATTGCAGCGGTTGGACTAGATGTCCCTGGGGAGTCCCTTCGAACTCTATAATTCTATGATGCAAATACCTTCCTCCACCTACCGTGAGATGTCTCGCAAAAAGCCTTTTCTATCTCTCTCAACAGTTCTTCCGCTAAGGCTGGCAGAGTGGCACCCATCAGGAGAATGTATGAGGCGGGCAGTTTTTTCTCTGGGTGGAAAAACAAACACACACACAAGGTTGTTATTAAAGGATAACAAAGCGAGTTTCATTTCCCAGAAGAGGGGAGGGCAGGGGAGAGAGAGAGGGTCCTATTTATTTATCCTTAATAAATCTCCTGTTTCGTTTATTTTTCATTAAAAGCGAAGGCCTCTCAGATATCTTCATAACGCCGGGGGAATTTGAAACCCCGCAAACATTGACTAAGCGTCACCTTCTACTTTGGAGCCTCTAGAAGCCGAAGGGTAAAAAATAAGCTAAAATAAATAAAATAACATAAGGTATTCCTCCATCCCGAATGTGAGGATCCATGGATCAGCTCTGCCCGCACATTGGATCAGCTAGGATGAAAGAGGTCAAATCATAAGATGACACAACCCCAAATTACATCTGGAGAACCACAGAATTTAAGAGTTGGAGTGGCATTCTGCCAGTTTCATCCATGGCACTACCTCTGGGACTCCCAACCATTTTGGGACTTCCAGGAGCTGGCTTGGAAGGGCTGCTTGCAAAATCTGGAGGGTCGCTCTCTCTTCCCCCACTTCCAAAGCCCCCCTCAAGTGTCTGGGGGTGGAGAGGTGCCATTCAAGACAGGATGGGAAGGTAAGAGAGTGAACTGGGATGTATCTGAAGGTAGCCAGAGAGAGATAACGTCAGTGTAATTTTGTCAAGCTTCTTTTAAAAGAAAAGGTGGGAGGGGGAGAGAAGAGACAATTTCCTCCTGCCCCAGAGATCGCTCTTGCTTATTTAAATGCATTGCATGTTTGGCAAAGAGAGAGCTATAATTCTGGCAGGAGGGAAGGTTGGAGATCCTGGGATTCTGACCTCTAGGGATATAAATATTTGAGATGAACAGACAGAGGTCTGGCGCAAGGCTCCCCCCACCCGCTCTTCCTCGCTGGTCAGCTAAAGACAGATGGAGCCCGAAGTGGAGACAGAGGTAATATCCTTGAAAGCCGCAAAATGTGCCAAAATCTGGAATAATCCCATCCTGTGTGTGTGCATGGAGCAAAGGGATGGACATTTAGAGGGTGCAGGCAAAGCAGCAGCAGCAACAACAACCCAGCAGTTTCACCTCAGATTTCTCTGGGAAAGGTTTTGGAACAGTTGTCCTCTCTGCCTTATAGCAACATGGGTGTCACCTATGCATGTTTTGAGATATGCAGCAAATGATGCCTGTTAACATATAAAGTTTATCTTGAGATATGCGCCCGTTCCAAAAAATGATGAAGCAACAAAAAATGATAACATTAATAAAATAGTACTAGCAAGAGAAATAGGAATAGCAACAGACTCTAAAGTTAATTACACAACTACAAAGTGTTAAATCAGAGGATATCTAACTATAATTTGCCATTATAGAAACTTGAGGTATCAACCTCATGAAATACGGGTGGTACTTAACTAAGTCATACTCAAAGTTAGGCCCATTAAAATACATGGATTTAAGTCGGAGCGTGGCAAACATTCAATACCACCTGATATCTGCAGCTTTAAAGTAGCACTACTTGCAACTTAGCAGTTGTGCTTACTATCAACTGTACAAATGATCACATTGTGTTAGTGCAAAATTTGGTATTTTCAATTCATTCATCAGCACCTACTCAAAACTCCATTTTTATTTCATTCTTCTGTTTCTTTGTCTCAGTTCTATAATGGAAGTCTACACAGGGAACTCCGCTCTTTTTTCAATGGGTTTAAAAAAAATTAAACAGTCAAATTTCTAGTGTTTATGGCTTTAAGTTAAAGGGACCCCTGACTGTTAGGTCCAGTCGCAAACAGCTCTGAGGTTGCAGCGCTCATCTCGCTTTACTGGCTGAGGGAGCCGGCGTTTGTCCGCAGATAGCTTCCGGGTCAAGTGGCCAGCATGGTGAACCAGAGCAGCACAAGAAAATGCTGTTTACCTTCCCGCCGGAGCTGTACCTATTTATCTACTTGCACTTTGACGTGCTTTCGAACTGCTAGGTTGGCAGGAGCAGGGACTGAACAATGGGAGCTCACCCCATCGCGGGGATTCGAACTGCCGAACTTCTGATCAGCAGATGAGATTAACAATGAGTCCGTAGGTGACTGTGGAGGCCAATTCTGGACCCGCACGTCTTTCCACAGTGGGGACATTGGTTTCCGGGCAGGAGTTGATCACGGTGTGGATTTGCCAAGCGTGCCTTCCTCCTAGCACATTTCTCCCTTGCGTTCGGAGTTCGAGTGTCTTCAAAGCCCATGACACCTTTGGCAAAGGCTGTTCTCCAACTGGAGCATTCTCAGGCCGGTGTTTCCCAGTTGTCAGTGTTTATACTACATTTTTTTAGATTTGCCTTGAGACGGTCTTTGAACCTCTTTTGTTGACCACCAGCATTACGCTTTCCATTTTAAAGTTCGGAATAGAGTAGTTGCTTTGGCAGACGATCATCAGGCATCCGCACAACATGACCAGTCCAGTGAAGCTGATGTTGAAGAATCATTGCTTCAACACTGGTGATCTTTGCTTCTTACAATACACTGGCATTAGTTCACCTGTCTTCCCAAGTGATGTGTAATATTTTTCAGAGAGACTGTTGATGGAATCTTTTGAGCAGTTGGAGATTGCACACACACACATACACACACACATATATGTCATATATTTCCTTAAACAGCTTATTCGGTTATTATCTTTTTAAGAATATGTTGGAAATTTAACAACAAGGTTGCCTGTGTGCATCAAATTTAGGTGTGTGGGTTTTTTTTGTAAGGAAGCTGCTGATAAGCCTGATTCTTTCGGAAACTGGTTACTATGAGATTTAAGTATAAAAACAGAGAGGTGGCGCTAGTGAGTTCAGGACTGAACCCACACCGTTGCCTGGCAACGGAGACATTCCCCCCTCCCGGCAGGGGCAAAAAGCGCATGCGCCGCTCAGAGAGGCCAAGCTCAGTCACGTGGCGCCAGATTCCCCGGCAAGAGTTACGAGGAAAAATCAAAAGCGCGCGCGGCATCCAGGCAAGCCACGTGGACTTCAAGAGCCAATCAGCAAGCGAGAAGAGTTCCACAGACTCTGCGAAACTATAGGGGAGCATAGGAATAGGAACAGCGGAATGGAGAACGAAGACAATTGGATCGAGAAGAAACTTCTCGATATGGCTCCTTCCCCTTCCACCCCCCAGAAGCTGAAATCAGACTTATGAAATTTTTAAGGGTTTATATGACTTGGACACATTTTCCCCGTGAGGGCAGCTGAGGGTGGAAAAAAAGCTGTAAACTCACCCCGGAAGCTGCCGAAAGTATACCTCTCTACTCAAAATACGTCTATAAACAAGAGCGGAAATGACGTTGCAGAACCCCTTATCACGTGCCTGGGCAGCGACGACGTCAAGGTCACCCTCCTCTTCTTAAAGGGCCATGTCGCTGTGTGTGGCGCTGCTGCCTCGGAGGGGCCTGAGAATGGCGGCGGCCGCGGCGGCCTTGGGGCGGCGCAGCCTGGCGCAGGCGAGGGCCGGCCGCAGCGGAGACGGAGGAGGGAAGCGCCTGACGGCAGCCGCGGGAGCCGCTAGCTTGGCGGGAGGCCTCGGCCTATCAGGTGCCAGGGGCGTGGCCAGAGGGGGCGTGGCTTCCGCTTGTGGGCGGGGTCTGCGCAGGCAGTAGTTAAAGAAGGGGAAAGTTGATGTCCCAGCATGTTGCCAGGCTTAGGCAGTCTGAGCTGCTAAAAGGGGATTTATTAAGAGCAAGAGCAATGGTTATTTATGTGCATGTGTCAGAGCAGTTTATAGCGACTGCAGCCCATAAAATCCATATAACTAAAAGCCATATAAAAAGTTATGACCACAAATCAGGTGACAGTTGTGCAGAGATGTACAGTGGTACCTCGGGTTAGAGACGCTTCAGGTTACAAACTCCGCTAACCCAGAAATAGTACCTCGGGTTAAGAACTTTGCTTCAGGATGAGAACAGAAATCGGGCTCCGGCGGCGCAGTAGCAGCGGGAGGCCCCATTAGCTAAAGTGGTGCTTCAGGTTAAGAACAGTTTCAGGTTAAGAACGGACCTCCAGAACGAATTAAGTACTTAACCCGAGGTACCACTGTACTACTAATCATTCTTTCACTTTTAGATCATTGGACAGAAACACATTATAATAGCTTTTTAGAATGTTTTTCACTGTAACTGGTTTTAGATGTTTTCAATCGATACTGTTTTCAGAGTGTTGTGGCCTCATTTAGGATGTTTTTATTTGTTTTTAAAAATTGTATCTCTCTTTGCTGCCCTGAGCTGCATGGAGAGGAAGGGCAGGGTATAAATTCAATAAACCCTTCCTCTTTTATGTTTCTGTTATGCAGGCAATTAGATTACAGTGGTACTTCGGGTTAAGTATTTAATTCGTTCCAGAGGTCCGTTCTTAACCTGAAGCACCACTTTAGCTAATGGGACCTCCTGCTGCTGCCACGCCACGGGAGCACGATTTCTGTTCTCATCCTGAAGCAAAGTTCTTAACCCAAGGTAGTATTTCTGGGTTATCGGAGTCTGTAACCTGAAGCACGTGTAACCTGAAGCGTATGTAACCCGAGGTACCACTGTAGTTACAGGTAGGCAGCAGTGTTGGTCTGCCGTAGTCAAAACAAAATAATAACAAAAATTCCTTCCAGAAGCACCTTAGAGACCAACTAAGTTTGTTATTGGTATGAGCTTTCATGTGCATGCACACGAAAGCTCATACCGATAACAAACTTGTTGGTCTCTAAGGTGCTAGTGGAAGGAATTTATTTACATTTTGTTTCGAATGATTAGTAGTCGTATTAAGGGCTCACTATTAGTTGATGGGACGTGGGTGGCGCTGTGGGTAAAAGCCTCAGCGCCTAGGGCTTGCCGATCGAAAGGTCGGCGGTTCGAATCCCTGCGGCGGGGTGCGCTCCCGCTGCTCAGTCCCAGCGCCTGCCAACCTAGCAGTTCGAAAGCACCCCCGGGTGCAAGTAGATAAATAGGGACCGCTTACTAGCGGGAAGGTAAACGGCGTTTCCGTGTGCTGCGCTGGCTCGCCAGATGCAGCTTGTCACGCTGGCCACGTGACCCGGAAGTGTCTGCGGACAGCGCTGGCCCCCGGCCTCTTAAGTGAGATGGGCGCACAACCCTAGAGTCTGGCAAGACTGGCCCGTACGGGCAGGGGTACCTTTACCTTTATTAGTTGTTACTGATGTTTATTATTATTGTATTTTTTTTCCCAACATAATTTTTTATTATTATTTCAACAGAAACAGACAAAATTAAACAAACAGTTTCATATAATTCTACAAATTCATTCTTAAGACTTCCTTCGACCTCTCCGCAAATCTTTCGTTGTCTATCTAACACATATTTTCGCATCTCCTACTATCTATTGACATTGTTCATTCCTTTCCACCCTTTTCCTTTCGACAATAGCCTTGCTATTCTCACAGAGTTCTTTTAAGCCCTACTAGCGTTATTTGAGGACGCGGGTGGCGCTGTGGGTAAAAGCCTCAGCGCCTAGGGCTTGCCGATCAAAAGGTCGGCAGTTCGAATCCCCGCGGCGGGGTGCGCTCCCGTTGTTCGGTCCCAGCGCCTGCCAACCTAGCAATTCGAAAGCACGTCAAAGTGCAAGTAGATAAATAGGGACCGCTTACCAGCGGGAAGGTAAACGGTGTTCGGTGTGCTGCGCTGGCTCGCCAGATGCAGCTTGTCACGCTGGCCACGTGACCCGGAAGTGTCTCCGGACAGCGCTGGCCCACGGCCTATAGAGTGAGATGGGCGCACAACCCTAGAGTCTGGCAAGACTAGCCCGTACGGGCAGGGGTACCTTTACCTTTTTACCTAGCGTTATTTGTCCCTCACTTAATTTATCCAGATACTCCACAAATCTTCCCCAATCCTCTATAAACCTTTGATCTTTTAAATATCTAATTTTCCCCGTCAATCTGTCTAGTTCCGCATAATTTAGTAGTTTCTCTCTCCACTCCTCAATTGTCGGTATCTTCTGTTGTTTCCAATTCTGGGCAAGTAACACTCTTGCTGCAGTTGTAGCATATTGGAAGAATTTACAATCTTTGCTCTTAATCTCCTTTCCTGATAAACCTAATAGAAAGGCTTCTGGTTTTTTCCCAAAAGAACATTTTTTTTTTTTTTTCATTTCCGTATACACCTCTTCCCAGAAACCCTTAACCCTTTTACAATCCCACCACATGTGGTAGAAGGTTCCCTCTTCTTCCCTGCATTTCCAGCATTTATTGCATACTTTATACATTTTTGCTAATTTCGCAGGGGTGATATACCACCGATATAGCATCTTCATTAAATTTTCCTTCAAAGTTACACATGCAGTGAATTTAAGATTTTTCCTCCATAATTTCTCCCATTCTTCATAATAGATGTTATAGCCAAAGTCCCTTGCCCAGTGTATCATTACCGACTTTACTTCCTCATCTATTAAGTTCCACTCTAGCAACTGATTGTACATTTTTGATAAAATTTTATAGTCATTATTTATTATCTCCATCTGGAACTTTGACTCTTTTCCTACGTATCCTCTGTCTTTAATATCTTTCCTGGCCACTTCGTTTATTTGGAGATAGTGGAACCAGTCAAACACCTTTTCCTTAACCTGATCGTAGGGTTTTAATTTCCACTTCTCCCCTTCTTTAATTAACAATTGTTCGTAAGTAATCCAATTATCGCTCATGTTAATTTTTTTAATACTTGTGGCTTCTAATGGGGACATCCAGTGCGGAACCTTGGGTTCCAGTAAAAATCTGTTTCTCTCCCAAACTTCTATTAAAGGGCCTCTGAATATATGGCTTCCAAATCCCTTGTGTACCTTCTTCTTCTCGTAGCATAAATACGCATGCCACCCAAATCTGTTGTCGTGGCCCTCCAGATCTAAGAGTTCTTTATTTTCTAGTTTTATCCATGGTTTTATCCAGCATAGACACGCTGCCTCATAATATAATTTCAGATCTGGGAGTGCGAATCCCCCCCTTTCTTTTGCCTCTGTCAATAATTTAAACTGGATCCTTGGTCTCTTGCCCTGCCATACATACTTCAAGACCTCTCTTTGCCACTCTTTAAATATCCCTGTACCTTTAATTACCGGAATGTTCTGAAATAAAAACAACATTCTCGGCAGTACATTCATCTTAATTATGGCTATCCTGCCCCAGAAAGATAGTTTCAACTTTCCCCACGTCACCAAGTCCCTTTTAATCTCTTTCCATACCACTTCGTAGTTATTCTTGAATAATTCTATATTTTTTGGGGCCATCCATATTCCTAAATATTTCACTTTTCTAGCCACCTCTATCTCAGTTTGTTGTTTTAGTTCTTCAATTGTGGTTAAGTCTATATTCTTTGTCATTAGTTTGGTCTTACTTTTATTTAGCTTGAAGCCTGCCACCTTGCCAAATTGTTCTAGTTCTTCCAATACTTCTTTTATTGAGTTCATCGGATCCTCTAATGTTATTAACAAATCGTCTGCGAATGCTTTGACTTTATATTCGTTTCTACCGACTGTTATCCCTTTTATCTTTTTATTTTGTCTTAATGAATTTAATAACACTTCCAAAACAGTTATGAACAACAGTGGAGATAGCGGGCAACCCTGCCTTGTTCCCTTCTCTATCTTTATTTCTTCTGATACCACATTATTTATAATCAATTTTGCTTTTTGCTGCGTATAAATTGCTCTTATTCCATTGAGAAACTCTGTGCCTACCTCCATATATTCTAGATGTTTTAGTAAGAAATCCCAGTTTGTGTTGTCGAATGCTTTCTCTGCATCCACGAAAACCAATATAGCTTGTTTGTCACTCTTGGCCGACAAATATTCTATAATATTTATTATGTTTCTTATGTTGTCCTTCATCTGCCTCCCCGGCAAAAAACCTGATTGATCTCCATGGATATAATCTAACAATATATTTTTCATTCTGTTTGCCAGTATTCCTGTAAAAATTTATAATCTAAGTTTAGCAATGAAATCGGCCTGTAGTTTTTAACTTGTAATAGGTCTGCATCTTGCTTTGGAATTAATGTTATGAATGCCTCCTTCCATGTTTCTGGTATTTCTCTTTCTTTTAAGATGTTATTTATCACTTCTTTTAAAGGTGGCAATAGTATAGCTTTCATTTCTTTATAATAACTGGCCGTAAATCCATCCGGACCTGGTGTTTTCCCTCTTTTAAGTTCTTTTATTACTTTTTCTATTTCCTCTGTCTCTATTGGAGTATTCAATTGTTCTTTTTTCTTTTCCGGTATCCTTTGGACCTTTTTATCCTTTAAGAATTTTTCTATTTTCCTCGAGTTGAATTTCTCTCTGTTTTTATATAGACCACTATAGTAGTCCACAAATGCTTTC